CAAGATACTCGCGTTGCTTTGTGCTGCTCACTAGTGTTCATTAAAACAAATCGTATGTGTTTTCTTGTAAACCCTTGTTATGTAAGTTGAACTAAGTAAGTAGACAGGTATATTTTTCACAACTTTTATCTGACGTTTTGTTCATCATGTTTTGAACTCGCTGAACTTTTTTTAAAATTCTTTGATTTCTTGCTTACAGTTTCTTAATTCAGTATGGGCCTCTTTTCCTGCTTGAGTGTTTTTTGGCATTCAGCGATTCGTTTCATGGTACCTGATTAGGGCGTCAACCACCTCTTGTTCTGTCGTCTGTTTTAAAGGCTTCGTCTGCTCTTGCTTTGTATTGTTATGTCTTTGGGCATGTTCCTCTTTGGGAATGCCTATTCAGTGCTTTTAAAGCCTACTCTGATTGTTCTATCATTTTTTCTTCCGAAAGTGCTTCACTGTAACGACGTTTTCGGTTCTAATTTCTTTTGTAATCGGCTGTGTATAAAAGTGGGACGGGGACAAGGGGACGGGGACATCGGGACGCGTGCGTGGGGGACTTGGGACTTGGGGACGCGAGACGAGGAACTTGAGGACATCAAGTATGGGACGCGGGGACGCGGGGACGCGGGGACGTGAAACACAGGGACGCAGGGGACGCGGGATGTGAATAATTATTGCAAAAGTCGGACGTAAATGCGATATCAGAATCAGTCACTTTCCTCGTGAATATGTCTTAGTGAAGGCAACACACCCTGCCCTCCTTAGGGTTCCTTCATGCCTGTTTACGAAGCGAAGACTCGGCGAAGACCCCTATATTAAATTGCTAGTCTTGTATTGAAGAAAGTGAAACTGTTGTCCTCGTCTTCTTACTGATGGAATATTGGAGTCCAAAGCAGGGTAGGGTGGGTTGCAGTCGCCAAAATTTTAGTAGAATAACAGCATTCGATTCCAAATAAATAAAAAATTAAGTGGCATAAGCGAGCTTCAAACCCCGAAGTGCTAGCTCCGAAATCCATCGCCTGTACCACTAATCCACGGGGGATTCAACTATTGTAGCAATGTTTATTTTGTTCTACGTATTTGTAGTGGCAAACCTAACAGTAAATGCTTGCTAACAATACTTAAAGGTTGATTTCCACTGACGCGTTTTTGGCTATGCACGTTAACGCAAGTAAATTTTAATCACAAAAAAAAGGTCAAATAACATAGAGACAAGATATAAATTGTTGAGATTAAACGTGATTAGATTAAACGCTGCCTTCACCAAGACATATTCACGAGGAAAGTGACTGATATCGCATTTACCTCCGACTTTTGCAATAATTATTCACACCCTGCGTCCCTGTGTTTGACGTCCCGGCGTCCGCGTCCCACACGTCCCCACGTATCATACTTGATGTCCTCAAGTGCCTCGTCTCGCGTCCCTAAGTCCCAAGTCCCCACAAACGAGTCCCGATGTCCCCGTCCCACTTTTATACACAGCCTTTGTAATCCTGTGGTTCGTATTTTGGGTTAAAGGTGGGCAGGTGGTTCCGCGTTCTGTTTCCTTCTTTTCTTTCTTCTTCTTTTGCAGAGCGTTTCTTAGAGATCTTTGGCCTGGTTGTGGATCATGTTCAGAGAGGTTGTTTTCTTGTCGTCGTTGCTTCAGCAGTGCCCTCCAGTTTGGTCAATATCGACCACTCTGCACAGTCTGGGACCAAAGCTCAAGCGACGCTCGTTAACAAACGCCTACGTCAAACTCTGATTTTCGAAAACAAACTCCCATTTTCAAACTCCGATTTTCGAAAACAAACTTACATTTTCCAACACATACACTCTTTTTTTTTATATAAGAATATATTTTATAAGAATATCGAGGCTGAAATTTGCGAAATTTTAAGAATATTTTAAGAATAAAGCCAAGGCTGAGATTTTGAAAAGAATAGATATAATTTTGTGTGTTGAAACATCTGTAAAGACAATAAACTTTTATGTTTTTAACTTAACCGTATAAAATTATTCCTTTCTCTAAACGGCGAAACTATCCAACAAAACGAAAAAACCTGCACTAGCTATAGCAAAATGTTCAACGCTAATGACAGTTCGATGAACGGTACATGTAATACATATACATATACCCCAATAAATTCTAAAACGGAAATGTCATAAGCTATAATTTAAGAATAATACAAGAATATTGTCAGCCTAAAATCGGCAGAAAAATAAGAATATTCAGCCTGGGCCGGAAAAACAACATTCTTATAAAAAAAAAGAGTGTACTCCCATTACACAAACTCCCATTTTCGAGAGCAAACTCCTTTATTCGAAGAATCCGGAAACGGAATCACGTAAACGGAAGCAGAAACGGAAACGTAATCTGTGAAAGAAAGTTCCAAGCGATCGATTTGGAAAAAAATATTAGCAATGACAATAAAAATAAATGAATAAATTTAATACCTGGGCAGAGGAGACTGCTGTAACAGTCCACTTCCATCAATGAATGCAAATTTTCATGGGACAGCAATGCGAGGAGAAAAACTATAGCTGAAAAGACGTAACTGAAAATAACTAGTTCCTTTAGAAAGAGATAAGTTTAACTGAAAGGCGTCGTCGTCAAGTTGTTCCTGGGTGTCTTTTCTGGGTTGTCTTCAAAGTCTTCAGTTTTATTTATAAAGACAACTTACTCAAGAGAACCATGGCATTGTGGAGTCCAAAGAGAAGAGAGGATTGTGCATACATTTGCTTCATTATATTCTGCAACTGATTACATCAAAATAATGCGCCATGTTTAATAAGCCTCTTCAACGTAAACTACGGACGTCAACACAAACTCAATTACAACAGCATGCCATCAGCATTCAGCTTGGCGAAAAAGTTGAACTTATTGCTAAGACACCGGAACTATGGCAATGGCGGATATACACCTTCAGATAAGGTGGGTGGATGGGGGACGGTCGTCCAGATCCTGAGATAAGGGGGGCGGTCTCAAAAAAATTGTTTTTCGGCCCTTCAAGCTTCATTTTGGCCTAAAAATAAGGCGGGGGCGGCCCCCAGGGCCCCTTCTCTAGATCCGCCACTGTGTGGTTACGTCGCGTCACGGTCATGTGTTGAGTATTCACAGGAGCAGTTTGGGGACAATCACGTAGTGCGGTGTAAGGCCAACTACTACTGTTCTTGACATTTATGTACCTTTATCGGCCTTGCAGCGCAATAAATCACACTATGGCAAACCTTTTCAAGACATGTTTGCTGTGTGTGTGTTTGTTTAATGTTTGCTTATAAATTCGGAACCTTTATCAGTCCATAACATTTGAGGTTTACGTTTACTTTTGAATATGTCATCGAATGCTTTACTTACAGTTTCGGTTTTTTTTATCTTTCAAACCTCTAATCCATCCATACTTGCTAAACACATCAATAACCATCAAGAGATATTTAATTCCTTTATTCCACTTACTAAACTTTTGCATTTCAACTAAATCAGCAGCCCAGATATCATCAATTCCGTTTGAGACTACTGATCTCTTTTGAAAGTTTCTTGTGATTGGTTTGTGAAGTTCGTCGGCTAATTGTTGAGACCAATCACTACTCAACGCCGACTCGCGTTTAAACCAAGTCCAAGTTTTTGTTTAGTATTAATTATTGTTCTAGCCAAAGTATGACCCCATTGTCTTTCTTTGCAAGGAATAGCATCTAACGATTTTACCATCTTTCTGTCAGCCTTATTTTTACACTTTCGGTCATCCCCACAAACACTATAATCAACATCATGCTGCATGGCAATAGCATCGGTTGGCCCAGTTGGTTGATCATAAATTTCTAATATTTCGCCGGTTTCCGGATTGTATCTTACTTGGTTTTCGAGATCATTATAAGGGCCTGTATATTTATGCCCTGGCAATGTCCATCCACCTTTTGGTTTTGGTAATTTACCAATTTTCTTGTGAATATCTATCGCACCTCCATCCAAATCTTTTCTGTTTGTTTTATAGTTTTTCTTTGGCCTCACTTTTGTTGATAGTTCATCCATGGCTGATCCAACAGAATCTTGAATAAATGGAGTGAGTTTATTAATCCCATAATTTACAGCTTTTTTCTGAAGATCTTTATTGGGCATTAACTCGCTTGCTCCATATCGTCCCATTTCAACTGCTTTTTTACCCATCCAAGGAAGCCCGTAATGTACAAATCCATCAACTGCTGTGCCAACAACTGTATCAAAGACGCCCGCCCCTTCAGACGGGCTGATTAGTTTTTTGACTTTCTTTTACCACTTCCATTTTGCGAAACTGTTCCCCTTTTCACATATCTAACTTTTTTGTTTCCACAAACTGCACATCTACAAAAGAATTGAGTTCTACCTCTTTTATCTTGTTGGTAACCACTTGGCTCTGTACAAGGAGTTACTCTTTTATCTACGATACAATAAGTTTCTTTCATTTAATATAATGTTTAGATAAAAAATATGACTACTAGATCTAATTTTCTGAAAAGTGAGCTTCAAAAGATATACAGTAGCCTAAACATGAGTTATGAATACGCTGATTTTTCTAGATTGGAAAACGATACTAGATTTATAAAAGTATTTGAGTTGCTTACGGAAATAAGTGAGAAATCAAATACGCTTAACAAAGTTGTAAAAGGTAATTATCTATTTATATAATAAATGGAAGCTAAATTCTTTTCTGAGATAGAAAAAAAGATGGATGTTAAAACGCTAAAAGATTTCGAGAAAGAAGTAAGAACAAAAATATATAATGAGTTGGAGTCTCTTAGAAAGAAAAACGAAGATCTTTCTAGAGTGCTAATGGTTGGTGAAAGTCTGATGTGGAAAAAATAAGAAACGAGGAATATTCTTGGTTGCAGCTAAATAGTGATAAAAAGAAGAAACTTTATCGTCTTATTGATATTTACTCTAATTTCATAGATATAGTTGATAGTGTTAAAGATCTAAATACAAAAGTTGATAGGGTTAAATTACTAAAAAATACACCGGTTGATGAAGATTAAAAAATAATATTTATTAAATATTATTTTTATCCTCCAAAGTATGACTTTATAAAATCGCTGTTATCATTATCAAAATTAGGGCTATGTATTACATCTAGAATACCTTTTCCTTTTTGTCGCTCGAATAAATAATATAAACACCAATTACCACATAGAACAGTACTGCGATTTTGTATTTCATCCATTGAGTACACAATAGGTTTTACAGATCCCGTGTGAAAATACTCTAATGCTTCGTTTGGCATTATAAGTCCAAATGGATCGAAGTACTCAACCACTGAATCCAGATTTCTATAACAAACCCAGTGTGTTCCAGGTCCACTAATATCATCCAGATTAATTATTCCACATTCTTTTCTAATCTTTTTTGGTAGGCCATCACGACTATATATTCCTCTGAAATGTTTAATACCAAATCTTTTTACCCATTCCATGAGGTCAAAGTTGGATAGAGGTTTAATTACAAAATGGAGTTTAGAATGGTTAAGGGAGGTTCCCCCACTACAAAATGGAGCTGAGAATGGTTAAGGTCAATTATAGAATTGTTCCTAGAATGGAAATTGAGTTGAATGGGCTGTTTTTTCCTAATAGTAGGCCCTTGCCTTTGGACTTGGACGGCCTTCCGGCTTTTTTTTTTTAACTCCCATTCCTATAGGGTTTTCCCATGTACCTATAAAAGGTGGTGAGCGATATGGATAACCCTCTCCATGTGTGGGTGGAACGTAAACATTTGCTGTATTAGATGACGCACGTCTGTCAACCTGAAGTCCTCCTCCAAGCATCTTAGATACCAGACTAATTGCTATTGGAATACCAATAGAAGCAAGTGTACCTAAAAATCCTCCTTCTATCTGTTTACGAGTTGGTTTTATAACTACTCCACTACCTGATTGATAAGCTTTGTTAATTTGATTTATTTGTGATTTGGTAAATTCTCTTACAATAGGCGGTAGCATTGGGAAAAACTCTGGGGGAATTGAGATTCCTTGTAAAGGGAGGTGTCCCCCACTTCCGAATATTTTATTTAATCCTATTTCTCCAAGTGCAGTAGCAGCACCAGTTGCTATTGCAGGAGCAACTTTTGCAATTCCTTTTACTGCGTAAGGTAGTACTCGCGCTCCAATAGAAGCAAGTGATGAAAATAAGTTTCCTCCGTGTTTCACAGATTTTCTAATTTGAGTTTTACTTATCTTTATATCCGATCCAGTACCGTTTGCAATAGATTTTTTTATTTTATCAATTTGTCTTTTTGTCAACATTAACTCATCAGAACCTCGAAGATGAGAATGTTTTAAACGAAGAGTTAGTGGTGATTGATTTATTATCGCAGAAGCTAGTTTTGACTTTTGTCCATCTGTAAGTTTTACACCGTATTCAATATAAGTAGTCATTTTTTATTTGATGTTTATATTAAATTCAAATCTCATCAATTAATCTTTTTTTATTTGTTTTGGGTTTATTATATTTTCACTCAGTTGGTGGTTAACATTAATAATTAGTTTGAATGTTCTAGGAGTGATATTACATCAAAGGTTTCTTCTAGAAGGTTATTGTTTTTAATCACGAGATTATTGTGTGATATTACATCATAGTTTTCTTCTAGAAGGTTATTGTTTTTAATCACGAGATTATTGTGTGATATTACATCATAGTTTTCTTCTAGAAGGTTATTGTTTTTAATCACGAGATTATCGTGTGATTTTTTCAACAAATCAAATTTCTTCACAAAATTTTATTCGTCAAGTATATAATTCTGAGACAATTTATCGTGAAGCACAAAATTCTGTGACAATTTATCGTGAAGCACAAAATTCTGTGAAAGTTGAACAGATCGTATACAATTTTGATTATGCCTCCCTCTTTAAAAACGTTGGAAAATCGCAGGGATGGATGTATCAAGAAAATTGAGGAATTGAAAGCGACAGCCCTTGGTACTATTTTGATGTTTTACCATTAACATTATATTAAGTATTCGATTTTTAACTTTTTTATTAATTCACTTATGTATTTGAACTTTTTTAATATTACTTGGTGGATATAATTTAGTTTAAGCTCTAAGCAATAGTTTTCCATCTTGTTGTGATATTTCTGCTATTCTTTCATGTAAGACTAATGCGTAAATATTATAATCAGCGTTTGGATTAGCAGTTAATTCGTAATGAAATGCTAGTTTTGTAACTCCATCTTTGATATCCATTTTTTGTTTTGTTAGGTCAAAATAAACAAAAGGAAATAAAGTTTTGAAATTAGTTCTATTAAGTAATGTTCCACCTTGATAATCATTATTTGCATAGACGTATGACATTACATTTCTAAAAACTCTTGACATATCTGTAGAAGGTTTAAAGTGAATATCTGGGTATTCGTTTCCATTTGCAACTTCCAGGTAACATCTTGATATATTAGCATTATTTGGTAGATTAAAAGTATCGTATAAAAATGGATTTGCTGTTTGTGCATCGATTCTTGCTGTATCAATTCCAAAAACAAAAACATGACGTGGTTTTGATATTGCATTTGTAATTCGAAAATGACCTGTTTGTTGTTGTGAATTATTTGATCTTTCAACTACTTCGTTCAAATATGTCCATTTGTAAGGTTTAAGATAATTTTCCATATACAACTTTTGTCCTTCAGAATTCAAAGTAAGTTTTGGAATAAAAAGTTGTAGTCTTGTTATAATAACTCTACAATCATCAGCAGCTTGAAAAATTAAATTTGCATCTTTTTCAATTTCAATATTGAGTTCGATTTTTGTATTAGGAAGTAGTTTATCTTCCAATGCTTCAAAGAAAGAATATCTATTAAGAGGAATTTCACAGTTTACTGTGGCTGATGCACCTAACAGTAATTTCCTTTGATGAAAACCTTTATTATAAGTTGCTTGAGCAGGCCTTTCCTCTGCGGCTGTTGTTGTATCAAGAAAATAAAATTCGTTTGTAGCAACGCTCTGGGCATATGAAGGATTATATTCGAGTAAATTCTTGATATTTACAACATGATTCGCATAATTACAACTATAGATACTTAATTTTTCTATAAAGGAGTTACTACCATTTACAATTCCATTATGGTCAGCAAGCGCAATGTTTCCTCCATCTGCCAACTTATTTACTTTAAAATCCATTGATAATCGTGCGTTATACCAATCAAAAGGAGTGGATTCTCCTGTATTATCAGCTACAAATCTAAGACCTGATTTAGTTTGGTGAGCGTTATTTGCTGGAGCCGCATCTAAAGTCTGTTCCAGGTCATAAACAACATCCTCATATCTATCTAAATATTTTGGATTTCTAAAAGACTTCATTTTATTTTAATAATTATATAATTTTCTCTTACGTGTTGAACCCCCACTAAGAAGGTTATTCAACATTTGATCTATCTCTTGTTGAGATATTGTCTCAACATTTTCATTAAAAGTAACTTTTTTTGTAGGGGGGTTTTTTAGCAGGGGGGTTTTGGGGGGAGGCACTCCCCCCATTGATAACATTTGCACTATTTTATCACCGGCCTTTTTACCAACATGTTCACCGGTTTTTGTTGCGGCTGCTGTTACTGCTTTTTCAACGCCTTTTTTAGCGGCTTTTTTCACTGTCTTTCCAAATATATTTTACCAAACGATTTAAAAACATCTGTTATTCCTTCACCATAAATATGATGTCTTGTAAAACTACCCAATTCAGGGTCAAGTTTTTTTTTAAACTCTGATTGTCGCATCATTTTTATCTAATGAATATATATTTAGTTGATTAGCAGCAGGGGGGTTTTGGGGGCCCCGGGTGGCAATCCCCCCATTACATGGAGTGAAGTATCAAAGTCATAAACCAATCTATACCGTTGAAATTTACAGGTCTTCCAAGTGAGTCTGTAACATAGATTCTCATTTCATCAATGTGAAATGAAGAGACAGGACAATACAATGGTCTTTTAGGCTCAAACGTAAATGGATAAGACCTTGTAAGATTATCGGTTGGTATCACAGCTATGGTATTTGTATTTATTCCATTTACTATGCTATCTGTTATTGCGGTTGTGTTGATATTTAACACATCAATCGAATTTGTGATATTTGGTAGTTTTGATCCATACTCTGTTTTATTAATAAATTTCTTTTCAAAACCAATTAGGTCTCCAAATTCTGTTCCTCTAAGATCAAGTTGATAATCACCATCGAGTGATACTAACACACGATAGGTGGATAGTATAAAAGTTAGATTGATTGAATACTTCTTTGAACCTTTAGAATCCGTTGTGTGGTGAGACTTTTCAGACATATATTGATGAATGTAATCATTGATATCTGAGTAGGAATACATTCCATCTGTAAAAGTAATTGTTTGCCAGTTGGTTCCATCATGAGTGTATTTGATTTTATTGTTTCCATAATCACTTCTAATGTTGTACCAAGAATAAGTCATGGACAATCGATCAAGAGCAAGTTGATGTTTCTTTTCAGGGTCAAGTTTCAAAGATGGGTTAAATTTGATAGTAAAATCACCAGGTCTGCTTGTTCCTCTTTTTTCCCTATTTATTGAAGAAATGTGAATAGCTCGTTCTTCCATTTTTTTATTTAATGATTATATATTTGAGGGAGGGGTTATAGGGGAACCGTAGGTTCACCTATTTTTAGTAAGTCATTTAGCTGTTTTTTTGTGATTACTTTCATTTGGTTTAGAAGATGAGCTATTTGAGAAAACTCATTTATCACACCATTATTCCCAGCTAGAATTGATCCACCAAGTAATTCAAGTCTGTCTAGAAGTTGATGTGGGTTGTTAAAGAGAATAATTCCAGAGCCAGATATTTCTTTGTAACACCTAAGATTACTTAAATTTGATGCAAATATGCTTAATGTGTTATATTTTTTTATAAAATTTATTGTGTTTTCACGTGGATTTTTATTTACTGGTTTAGCTAAAAAATAACCGTTTGGGTCACGTGTAATAATTGCAGTATTTTTTATTGCTTTACTAGTCTCTCCTAAATCTTCATTAACATCCTCGATTAGTTTATCAATAGTAGAAACATCCTCTTCAAAATACTCAGAAGGAAGTTTGTGGTATCCATTAAGTTTGAATATATCTTGTGCTTCTTTATTCATTAAATTTCTATCGAGGTCTTCAGGTGTAAATTTTGCTATTTTTGGTCCTTCCTCTGATGTAGAGGGTAAAACACCATCATCTTCTTTAGACTCTTCAATCGCCTCAAAACGAGGTAATTGAGCCATATCCCATTTTTTTACTTCGTCAAGTTTATCGAATCCCTCAGTTATAGCCATCCTGTTTTGATTAAGTCCTTGTGTAAGAGCAAGTTGATTAGCTTTGAGTTGTGCTATAGTTGCGTTTTGTTGATCGTCGATACTTTTTTTGATGCTATCTTGAGATTTAATAAGTGGTTTAAATGTCTCTTTAAAACCTTCCCGCATATCTTGTTTTTGCCATTTTGTTGTTTTTATAACATCTCTCACCTGTCGTACCAAAGCGTCGGCTTCGATTTTATTTCTTGCAAAATTTTTGAATTCTTCTATATCCATTTTATTTAATCAATAGATAAAAATGGAAATACCAAACTATGATAGTACCGATGACATTGATAAAAAATATAAACAGTTATTTTCTTTTATGCCAGCGGATACGTTTCGAATGTTAATCTGTGGAAACAGTGGAAGTGGTAAGACTAATTTGTTATATCATATGTTAATCAAACCACTGTTGCATTACGATTAGATTTGTCTTTACGCACGTAATCTTGAACAGGATAAGTATCAAAAACTCATCAAAAAAATGAGGGAGTTGAGTAGTAAAATTGGATATGAAATACTTCATGTGAGTAACGATGAAATAACCCCGGTTACAGAAATGGATTACGAAGACAATCAAAAACTTGTGATATTCGATGATTACGTCTGTGATAAAAACCAGAGGAGTCTTATTGATTATTTTATTCAAGGACGACATAAAAATTGTTCTGTGATCTATCTCAGTCAATCATTTTACAAAACTCCAAAGGATATTCGTCTAAATTGTTCTCACTATTGTCTGTATGAATTTCCATCATCGAGAGAAGCAAACAGAATATCATCCGAATTAGGAGTTGACAAAGAGGCGTATAAAGCAGCAACAAGAAAACCCTTTTCATTTTTATACATCGATAAACCAAAAAAACGTATTGCTAAAAACTTCACCAGTAATATATCCTAATAATAAAAAATGGGAATATTTAACGAACAATCTTTTGATCATCCTTTTGCTAAAGGTATTCCTGGTGCTCCAGGGGTTGGATTTAGTTTGACCGCAAATGGTGATTATGATATTAATAAAAAAAGACTCACAAATGTAGGAGCACCAACAGATAACGAAGACGCTGCAAACAAAAAATACGTAGATGATAA